GCTCCTGTGTTACCCCATCGTCCCCATCAATCGTCTGAACAACCGCTGTCTGATCCTGGAGCTTCTCGGTCAACCTATCAGTGACCCTCTCGACGATGTCGGGTAGCTCCTCGCAAACGACTCGTGAAACCTCCGCAGCAACCCAATCACGCAGAGAATTCTCCTGGGGACAGGGTGCCCCACTCACTCCCGACCCCTGATGGCAAGAGCTAAAAATGGGATCCCCCTCCCTGATGGATCCCTGGGATCCATAAGAGTCGGGCTCTAGACAAGCCCCAAACTGCCCTGAAACTATCCCGACCCTAAAGGCCTCAAGACGACTGTCCAAAAGCTCCACGATGGCCTCCATAACCGAACTGAATATCACAGGAGTCTGATTAATGATGTTGCGCATAATCTCTGCGGAAATGACATCTCTCATCTGATCATCAAGCTATCCGGCTCTAGAGCCTGAGCCAGATCCCTCCCCGGCACCTGAACTGCCAACTGGTATCTCGCGCAACGTCACCATGCTGAAAACATATCGCAATAACTGTCAGAATACTCGTTGCTGCTGAGGGATCTCACACACACACTCTACAATTTCCCTGGTTTCGTCTTGGCCCCTCTTGAATCGAGTACGAATCCTCTGCTTTCAGTAGTACGGGCCCATACTACCTTCCACATCTATCTGTACTTTCCTCAAGAGTTACCTTAACTCAACCAAGTCCCTTCTACTGTTGCTGATCTCTGCTACTCTCATCCTAGGCTTGCCCTAGGAAAATCTCTGACTCTACCCAAACTAGTCCTTAGCTGCTGAAGGCCTCCTTGTAATGCCAATTAGTCATCACCTGAATACCATCACATGTGACGAGGCTCAGATAATCCTTCGAGTAAAAGACTCATCCCTACAACGGTTAGACTCAAACGAGAGCTGCGCAATAGGGCCAAATCTAGCACTCTGAGATTATTCAACCCTTATCACATGTGACGTGACGTATTCACCTAATGGCTAACTCCCATCACTCAGAGTCCCACAAAGCACAAAGAAAGCAGCATTCAGACACAGGAAACTACTCAAGCAATTCTATCCTCATAACAAGAAACTGTACTAGCATAAAATGTTAGGCTCATACTATCATGCATAACATAAACAGGCTATCCTACTACTGTCTACTCAATACTAGCATGCAATTCTAATAAAGCTGAAACACATATAGCATGCATATAAGGCATCCTCCTAGATCCTTAGTCCTATTCTAGCATGCTGTTCTACTGAAACTGAAACTGATAATCATAATATAAACTTGTATGGGTAATTTGGGAGTACTTACTTGAGCTCGGCTGATTGCATGCACCACACCCTTTTTCTCTTTTCAGAGTTCTTTTCTTTCAAAAAAAAAATTCTTTTTGCTTTTCTAAAACTCTTTTCCTTTTTAAGTTTCTTTTTGCTTTTCTAAAACTCTTTTCTTTTGAAAACTTTATACCACTTCCTTAGTTTGAGTTCAGACACACTCGGGAGTGCGCCCGAATCCCTCAAACCAAGGCTCTGATACCAACTTGCAACGACCCAAAAATCATGACTGAAAATTTCGTTTTAAAAACATTACTTAAACCACAATTGTCAATTCAAAACATAAATAATAACATAAAATCATAATGTTAATTTCAAAACATAATCTTCTTATCAGAGTAAAACATCCCAGGCTGACTAGCTATGGTGTGTGCCATGCGATCATCCCGAGCTCTACTCTCCGCTACCGGAAATACCTGAAACCAAAACTGAAAACTGTAAGCACGAAGCTTAGTGATCTCCACCAAACTACCACATACCAAACAATAACATATAAAGCACATATTGGGCCTTGCCCACTGCATCAGACCAAAGCCCGGACTAACTGGGCCTTGCCCCCTGCATCGGACCGAAATCCGGACTAACTGGGGCCTTGCCCCCTGCATCGGACTGAAATCCGGACTAACTGGGGCCTTGCCCCCTGCATCGGACCAAAGTCCGGACTAACTGGGGCCTTGCCCCCTGCATCGGACCGAAGTCCGGACTAACGGAACATAGCATAACATAATCATAACTACTAGCGTAAACACATATACTGCATACTGTATCGGACCGAGGTCCGGACTAACTAACACATAAACATGCCTGGATCACAAAGACATCAAGCATACTGTACTACTGCATCGGACCAAAGTCTGGAACTACTGCTATCTAAACGGGCCGACATTGTGGCCATAGACCCGTTCCTACTGGAAGGAAACTCGTCTGTACTGCTGAACTCTACTGATAATCCTCTGGCTGCTAATCGACTATTCTCTGAAGCGCTGCTCTCCTAGCTCACCGAGGTACCAACACCAAATAATAGAACTTAGCCTAAACTGTCCTCCAGAGGTCAACTAAGTCAACTCTGGTCAAGGTCCTGGTCAAAGTCAACCTTCCAGTTGACTCGACTCGCCGAGTTGTTCTACCAACTCGCCGAGTCCATGCTCCTCAAATCCCAAACAACCCCGACTCCACTCGTCGAGTCTAGCGAGAACTCGACGAGTTCTCCTTCATCTAACACTTCGGGACTATCTTCAACCGACTCGCCGAGTTGTTCTACAACTCGCCGAGTCCATCTTCATCGGCTAAGGAGATTGCCTTGGACTCGCCGAGTTCCTCCTTGAACTCGTCGAGTACCATGATCTTCATGACCATCACGGGCACAGACTGGCTGAGTCCTTCTCTAACCCCACTCACTGATCTGACTCATAAACAGAAGGGTTTGGGTTTTGCGACCCGACTCGCCGAGTCCTCCTTGAGACAACTCTATTATGTCGATTTCAATCTATTCCAACACTTCTAACTCATAGATCTGGACTCCTTATGCTAGCATTGCACGTAAAGTTGCTAACTTTACGTGCATGCAAGGTGTTATGAGGCTAGAACACCCTAATCTAAACTACAATGGAGGTCTAAGTCATGAAAGGAAGCCATAGCTGAGTAAAGCTTCTCAATCAGAGCTTTTAGAGCTCAGAAATGCTTAGATCTAATCTCTATTCGTCCTCAAAGGCTCAATACTCAGGTTGGCCTTGGAAATGGTCCCAAAAGTCTCATAAAAGGGACATGAAGAGATCTAAGAAACCATAGATCAAGGTAAGAGCTTGATTACCAGAAAGTGATGAGGAAGAGGGACTCCTTCTGGATCTACAATCACTCCTTAGCTCTTCCAACTCCTTCTTCTTCTTCTAGACTTCAAATCACTCAAGAACACACAATAATAGCTCACACTTTCATGGAGGACACTAGGGTTTCGCTCTGGACAGTGGGGGCTGTAAATGAAGCCCTAGAAATGGGAATGAGATGCTTAAATAGGGTGCCAAGTCCCGAAATTAGGTTTTCCCAACCCAGACCAGACTCGCCGAGTACACTAGCCGACTCGTCGAGTCGGTCACTTAACCTTGCACATGGATCCCGCTCCGACTCGCCGAGTCATTCCTTGGACTCGACGAGTTGACTCCTTTGACTTAGGGCTTTCCTTCCCTTTCTTGGTCTTTCTGATTCTGGGTGTTACATAATAACATTTTGAGGATCCAATATGAAGAATAGGAAGAGAGTTACCATCACCAACATGAAGAGAATCAGGACCACGATAGAACTCGGAGGTGTCAAGGTTGGACAGATCTGGTGTGGTGTGGGAGTTTGCACCTGTGTCAGGGAACCAAGTAGTGCCTGAAGTAGAGACATTGTCAGCAAAGGTTGCGAAATTTGCCTGCAAATTCGGTTTTGGCGAGTTACTTGCATCTTGGTTATTTGGACACTGAGATGGAAGATGGCCAATACCACAACGTTTGTAATGACCAAATACAGTGTTTTGTGTGGAGGCCCAAGAGAATTGCCTGGAGGGACCTGAGTTGGCACCACGAGTTCGGTTCTGAAAATTCCCACGCGAATTATTCCCACACGAGTTTCCTCGACAGTTGCCTCTGTAGTTGTTGTTTGGGGGTCGTGAGGCATAGAAGGCTTGAGGAGTTACACTTTGTGGAGCAATCGGATTAAGTTGGAAGCCAAGCTGGGACGCCATGCTTTGTAGAGACTGAAGTTGACTTTGAAAATTGTTAATGTTGAGTGATGTTTCTGTTGCAGCAGCAAACACGTGTGGATCACAGGGACAACAGTAAGATTTTTATTTATCATATAATCATGATCACTCAGAAGGGCATGTAGCTCAATGAAGGTAACAGGTGGGTGACGAGCTAAGAGGGTAGACTTGAGTCTGTTATACTCTTCACGTAGCCCAGAAATAACAAGAAGAACCAAATCCTTGTCTTTAACAGGTTCACCAATATTAGCAAGTGCAGTAGCATATTCTTGTGCACGTGCAAGATAGGCAAGAGGAGTTCATCGCCTTTCATGGTGAGTTTTAGCAACTGGGTTTTTAATGTATACTCTCTTGAAGAATTGGTTGGGGCATAAACACGTTCTAATTGTAGCCAGAGATCTCGTGAGGTAGTACCCTGAACACTTCCTTCCGAGATGGTAGAGATGATGATCATACGGACATGAGCATCGTTAGAAATCCAACGAGAGTAACTAGGATTGTCCGTAATTGTCTCTCCTATGCCGACTTTGGGCTCAGGGCATGGTATTGTACCATCGACATAACCGAACAGATTGTTGGAGACGAGAAAGGGTTCTAGCATGGCCTTCCAATACCCATAGTTTGTGGGTGTGACGGTAAAAGCGAATTTATGAGAATTATGAGAAGTTTTCTCCTGTGTCGTGAAAGCAGCAATGGTCGCCATGAAGTTTCTTGACAGATCGGCGATTAGGGTTTATCTTGCGTAAGAGGCTGTTGTGAGGATGCCGCCAATAAGGTAAGGATTAACTTGGCTCTGATACCAAGTCAAACCGTGTATTATTATTGATATCTCAAAGATTACGATACATATGAACCTAATATATATAGGTTAGATAAATACAATTAGGTACCCTCTAATTTAAGTAAAATACAATGCAACACATAAACTTAGTCTAACACTAGACAGTGGTTTAAATGGAAATAATCAATAGCACGCTCTGGACAAAGTAACTTGGTCTTCAAATCTTCACTTTTCAAATATTTTCCATCTGCCAAACATGCAATACTATTGTACAAATTATATATACCCAATGGAGATGACTTTTCCTTCATTAAACGTATGTAAGTACCCAATGGGATTGTTAGGAAGCTCAAAAGCAGTTCCACAAAAGGATTCTCAACTTGTGCACACAATAGCTTGTTCTTTGATTTCTGTATAAGTAATTTCACTGTCCGGGTCTGACCAGAGTTACCCAAAAACAAATCTGAATCACGTTTACCCACTGGAGATGAATTGTCCTTTGTTAAACGTGTGAAAGCACATAACACAATGGACAATATGCAGAAAAAAAGTTCCACGAAAAACTTCTTGACTTGTGCATATATTATCTTCTTGTTTGATTCTTGTACTAGTGATTTCACTGTCTTAGTCTTGGTAGTGTTACTCGAAATCAATGCTGAATTACTTCCCCCAAGCACAATATTTGACAAAGGATTTTTCGTAAATAATGACCACTTGAGGAGGTTCAAGAACTGAAATGATAAAATTGTGATAGATATTAAAACATTTGTTTTTTCAAAATAACAAAATGCTAATATGATCAAAACATGAAAACCCTACCTCTTCTACACCGAAATATATAGTTCGCTCTTCTAGCAAATTAATGTTTTCGACACCAAGGGACTTAAGGAACATGATGCCTGTATCAAGCATGAGAGGCGCTACATTTAGATCGTCAGTAATGATGAAATTAGCCTTCTTTTTGACAAACACTGTGTCGCCTTGATAACTAAAAAACTTGGGCTTCGTTGGATCTAAATTTATTTTAAGCCTCTCGCAAAAATAAGTTGATGAATTTCTTGTATTAACAAAGACATCCTTAGACTCCTCGTTAGAGAAATATTTTGGATTTAAATTAACCACACTTTCATAGAGAGAAGTCAGACTTCCAACTTTTGTATACTTCAAGTCTGCTTGCTTTCTCAAGAGTTTTGCAATTGTTCCCAGAGGCAAAGTGAAAAAACTAAAGAGGGTTTCCACAAAGTCTTCTTCTGCTTCTGCAAACATCACCTTGTTCTTGTTTTTGTCAATAAATACTTTCAGTTGAACTGATTTTTCATTGGTTCCTACCATCCCTGTTCAAGTTAAAAATATCCTCAAAACTTGTAGGTTTATACACAAACTGATTGATTATAGCTATAAACGAGCTAATAACTTAAGATTCTTGTCAAGAATTCAAGATATGTTAAAATAAAGTTATCTATCAATAGATTATGTAATCAGCACAGATACATCAAGTTGAGTTTAAACCTTTACTTCCAATGAAGGTTGATGCACAGGTACATCCAACGTAAGTTACCCTAATACTTTATAACACATTTTTATGTGCAGTTGTATCAATTTGTGTCATATAATAAACTCATGCATAAAGTTTCATTAAAATAATAAAGATGTTTCATCAACTAAATTAATTTTAATTATTATACAAAAACAAAACCAAGTTATAGAATTAATGGTTAGTGTGAGAACAAATGGACCATTCAACAACAAAATTGTATAATGACTCAACAGAAGCAGGATACAAACTAACAAAAAGAAAACGCAACAAATGGACCATTCAACAGCAAACTCAGCAAGAAATCGAAGAAGACAGACTAACCTTACGACCAAAACAGAGAAAATCTCAAGCAACAGCAGATTAGGAGACAAAAGCAAGCAGCAACAACGACAAATAATGAAGCAAAACGGGATCGCCAAAATCGCCCCAGAAAGAAGCAGGGGATTACCTTTTTCAAAGCATTTTGAACTTTTCATTATCCAGGAAAAGAAGAAAGTAAAATAGGATTGAGGGGGTAAGAGCGGGAACGTTCTAGTTCCCAAGATTTACAGTTACCCCTTACTAATACTTTGTTTTTATTTTACTAAACAAAATTTGGTTTGCAAATAGACCTGAAAATGGGGCGGGTTTGGAGTGAATCGACGTTGATCCAAACCCGTTTAACACATTTTAAATTCCGATCCAAACCCGCTCCATAACCCGCAGGGTTTTGAATAATCAAACTCATACCCTTATCCGCCGAATCAACAGATATCCAAACCCGCCCCGTAACCCGTAAGTTTTTTTGAATAACCAAACACATTTTACTTAAATCTCAATATAAGATTTATTAAAGAAAACAAATGTTGATTTAAATAACACATTACGTACTCGAGTACTTTCGATTGAAATTAAAATCATTTTCGTAGTAACTTTTGAGTTTTTGACCGTCGGTTGTATTGATAGAGAATAACAATTGCAAACTTTCTTCCTGTTGAGTATGAATCCACAGAAATGTTGAGTGTGAATCCACAGAAATGTTGAGTGTGAATCCACATAAAAGCTGGTCAACAATGGCAGGAACAATGTGAAGTTGTGAAGCCACAATTGTTGAATGAAGACCCAGTTGTGTTTTTTGACTACTTCTGATTTCCATCTCTATATAAGAGATTATTCTGTATTTGTAAAACTTGTATCTAGTGTAACACAGAAAGAGTGCAGATTAGCACCAAGAAATGTAAATTCCTAGTTACCGGTGGACGTAGGTCAGAAATAGACCGAACCACCTTAAATCCTTGTGTTCTTGTTTTTCGTGAGCTGTGTGTGTGTTTAGAGTCGTGTGTTAAGTGTCTCGATCCTAACAAGTGGTATCAGAGCCTTGGTTTAGCTCCAGAGGGTGATTTTCTGTTTTTTGGTCGAAATTTTTTTTCGTTAAAAACGATTTTGGTGTATACCGTTGGAAAGGTCTCGTTCCGAAGATTCCGAAAATATTTTTTTCTGAATTTTTTGACCACCGGAAGACGTCCAAATCGCCGGTCAAAGGTTTGCCGGAATAGTTACCGGAAAACCAGTTCGCCGGAGAAGACGACACTGTAGCACCATACACTGTAGCAGTCCGCCGGAGAAGACGACACTGTAGCAGGAACTGTAGCACGACGTCAGCAGTGACTGTAGCAGGCACTGTAGCAACACTGTAGCAGATTTGAAAATTTGCAATTTGGCCCCTGAATTTCCAGAAAATTGCAAGATAGGTCATTGTTCTTTCAGAAATGGCAGAAAGCAGTAAGCTTCAGATTGAGAAGTTTGATGGGAAAGATTTTGGTTGGTGGAAGATGCAAATTGAAGATTTGCTCGTACAGAAAGACTTGGACGTAGTTTTAGGTGAAAAACCGGAGGCGATGACACAGGCAAACTGGGAAACTTTGGATAAGAAGGCCAATGCATTTATTAGACTGACGTTGTCAAAGGATGTTGCCTTCAATATTTTGAAGGAGACCTCGACAAAGGGAATCATGGAGGCATTGTCTAATATGTACGAGAAGCCGTCGGCAGCAAATAAAGTCTTCCTGATTCGGGAACTAGTCAACACGAGGATGAGGGAAGGAAGTTCAGTTACAGTACACATCAACAATTTGAACTCGATTTTATCCAGACTTGGGTCAGTGGGAATAAAATTTGAGGACGAAGTTCAAGCTTTACTACTGTTATCATCATTACCTGACAGTTGGTCCGGAACAGTTACAGCCGTTACTAGTTCCGCAGGATCGAAAGAGCTCACTTTTGAGGGAATTCGGGATTTAATTCTAGGCGAAGACGTCAGACGAAGAAATTCCGGGGAATCATCAAGTGAACAATTGAATGCGGTCAGAGGTAGAAGAAATAACAGAGGTAGTGGGAGCGGGAACAGGAGAAGGAGTCAGTCGAGGACTCGAAATGATGTGACTTGTTGGAACTGTAAAGAGGTTGGACATTTCAGGAATCAATGTCCAAAAGACAAGAAAGAAGTTAACGTTGCAGTAGACCATTCAGATGATGATGTTTTGATCTGTAGTGTGGAGAGCAATGTGGATTCCTGGGTTATGGATTCGGGTGCTTCATTTCACGCTACCCATAGCCGTGAAGCACTGCATAATCTGAAAGAAGGAGATTTTGGTAAGGTAAGACTGGCGAACGATGAGGTTCTTGATGTGACGAGCATAGGTGACTTAGTTTTGAAGACTCCAGTCGGTCCATGGACTTTGAAGGATGTCCGGGTAATTCCAAGTCTGAAGAAATAGTTGATTTCTGTTGGGCGGTTGGATGAACAGGGACACGAGGTTAAGTTCAGGAATGGGCAGTGGAAGGTTGTCAAAAGAAATCTTGTGATAGCTCGTGGACATAAGAGGGGTTCATTATATATGGTCAGTTTACCGTCTGAGGGAGTAACCGTCCCAGTTCAGAAGAAAAACAAAATCCGGTTCATAGAGTCTCGTGGACAGAAGAAGGTTTGCTTTGCAGATGGCAAACCCAGAGTCACAGGTCAGATTCAGGTTGAACGTGTTTGGAACGGTTCAGAAAAACCAGTCAAGGGCATTCATAGCAGTGGGAGCATGGGCTTTGTTTCAGCTAGAATACCCAGAACACAGTGGGTTAAGAGAACCAGTATTCCATCTGTAAAAGTCTCTCCAGATTATCTGCTTCACATGGAGAGTGTCGTTTGTTCTCAGGATGTTCCAGGATCGGGCAGTTCATTTCAGTGGGAGCCGATGGAGACAGAGAACAGGTCAGTGGCAGACTTAGCCATGACTGATGTGTTGGAGCTAACGAAAGCTTCAACTGGCCTTCAGGTTAATTGAAGAGAAGGCCAGGGTAACTAGGAAGGAGTTAAGATCAAATACAGATGCACAGTTGAAGCACATGTGAAGATTGTTCCGTGGCTTCAAGTGGGAGATTGTTGAGTATGAATCCACAGAAATGTTGAGTGTGAATCCACAGAAATGTTGAGTGTGAATCCACAGAAAAGCTGGTCAAAAATGGCAGGAACAATGTGAAGTTATGAAGCCACAATTGTTGAATGAAGACCCAGTTGTGTTTTTTGACTACTTCTGATTTCCATCTCTATATAAGAGATTATTCTGTATTTGTAAAACTTGTATCTAGTGTAACACAGAAAGAGTGCAGATTAGCACCAAGAAATGTAAATTCCTAGTTACCGGTGGACGTAGGTCAGAGAAGGACCGAACCACGTTAAATCCCTCGTGTTCATCCTTGTGTTCTTGTTTTTCGTGAGCTGTGTGTGTGTTTAGAGTCGTGTGTTAAGTGTCTCGATCCTAACAAGTGGTATCAGAGCCTTGGTTTAGCTGTGTTAAGTGTCTCGATCCTAACACTTCCGACTGATAAATGATTGTTTGGTTGATGAAATATAAATGAAATAACATCATGTTTCTTGGTAGAATACTGAAAGTCTATAAGTCCAGTCCTCGATTCCTATGTAAAAATAGTTTAGTCTTTGCTTTTTTCTCTTTGGATTTCGATTAGAGTTAAACGTAAACTTTAGGTTGTATAAAATATAAATTTATAATTTTAAAATTTATAAGGGTCGGGTTATAAACGGAGCGGATCAGTGATGATCCATACCCGACCCTTTTAATAAAAGGGTTAGCGGGTACGGGTCGTTAATGGGTAAATGGATCAAAAACTATGCTCCAAACCCATATAATTATTAAGGGTTTGGATCGGATCAGGGTCAAAACCCGCTCCATTGCCAGGACTATTTGCAAATATGTAAAAGGTTTCCAACTTAGTGACTTACACGCCATCTTTAAAATGATTCTTTTGTAAATTTGGTCCCTAGTTAGGGGTGTTTGGATTAGCTTTATTAGCTTATTGCTTATTAGCTTATTTGTGGTGGGAATAAGCAATATAAGCAATAAACACCCTCTTTTTTTTCCTATCCAAAACACCCCCTTACACTTGAAAGGTTCATTTCGTCTTTATTATTATTATTTATTTATTTATTTATTTATTTTAGTATTTAAATAATTAAAAGAAATAAAAATAAGATCTCTCTCTCTCTCTCTCTCTCTCTCTCTCTCTCTCTCTTCGGTAGTCAACAGTATGTCTCCGCCGAACGACGATGTTATTGCTTGTTGTCGGTGGTGATGTTTGTGGTTGGAGGACTCGTTTATATCATATTGCAGGGGTGTTAGAAGATTTACGAAATTCGTATAGTGTTTGATTAATGTTACTTGCTTTTTTATAATAAAATACGAGTAATTAATAATGTATCAGTCTCTTTTATCTTTCTACACATAATTTTCAATATTAAATTGTTTAAAAAACTAGATTGGTGTGTAAAAAATTACCCTTTTCTACAAATCAAATCACATACACGTACACACATAATTGATAATTGTTTACAAATTCTAAGAAATTTGGACTTTCAGCTTAGTTTTCGTCACCAGAGAACATAACCCACTACCGATAACTCATCAAAAGTCGAGCACTGCCACTGCTTCCCTCTCTCCTCACTACTGGATCACCCCACCTAGAATCTATTATCTAGTTCCAAATCTGAAATCCACAAAATCTAAACATATTGCATCTGATTTCAAACCCAAACTCACCTTTGTTTCTCTGTAACACATACATCGACTTTATTCTTCTTTTGATGTAATGTGAACATCTCATATCTCTATACAACTTCTCTATACAGATTAGAGTTTCACTGAACCTGACCAATTTCGCCAAAAAAAGTGCTACATAGATTAAGTCGGACCTCCTGGAAGGGGAAGTGTGTTTCATTGATGTAATGTGAACATCTCATATCTCTATACAAGTTCTTTACACAAATTAAAGTTTCACTAAACCTGACCAATTTCGCCAAAAAAAAGTGTAGTTCGTATGAATCGAGTGAATAGAATGAAATCAGAGTATGAACTGAATCAAGAACACAAAACGTAAATATAATCTGTTTAGCTCTTTATTGCTTTTGTATGAGTACACAAGATGAAAGAGT